CCTCTTCCATTCCTTTTGTACTCCTTTCTATACAGCCCACTTGTGGTGCAACTATAGTAAGGTAGTAATGAAGAAGCTTCAAGTGGCTTATCAGGATGCTTTTAGAATCCTCATGAAGCTCCCTAGATGGACCTCTGCAAGTCATATGTTTGTTGTGAGTAACATCCCTACTTTTCATGCGCTTCTGAGGCTCTTCATGTACAAATTCATCTGCCGACTGAGTTTGTCAGCTAATGCTGTTGTTAGAGCGCTGTCATCTTTATCTTACAGTGACACGAGGTACTCCTCAGTCCTTTTTAAACATTGGAACAACTGCCTATATGGTTTGTAATTAGAATGTGTTTGTATTTTTATTTTATTCTTGTTATGGACATATCCCTTGTCTGAAATAAAGTTTGATTGATTGATTGATTGTCCGACTGCCTCTCATGCTGTTGAGTCTGATTTCATTATGAACAGTCGGTGCAGTAAAAGGCATGCAGAGGGAGTGTTTCTGTGAAAATAACCAATACCTCTAATTTGCTGCATATAGCTTCCTGATTAGACTGTTTCCATCTGTAAGGACTGATGGAAATGAGAACATGTAAATGCTATAAATCTTTACAACAAGAGTTATAAATGTAGCAATGATATTTACGACAACATGGAATTAGCTACACATGAAATATATCCTATTCCGATTTTTACCTTTTCTAATTTAAGCTTGAAAGATCATCAAGAGACTTTGAACAGAATTCAGATCAGATGCCAACTTCTCAAACAATCCATCTCCAAACATTATTGAGCTGAAAGCATAACTTCCAGCCACTTTTCTCCTTTTATAACCCCCGTGTGCAAAGGGTACTGGAAAGATCCGCCTCATGAAGTTTCCATGGAGATTAAAGCAGCAGAAGGGCGAAAATATCTTTATTGGTCTCTTCAAGATAAAGCAGCTTTATCAGTTCACTTATGTAGACATTCAGAACATTTATATTTATATTAGAGTGCAGATTAGACGCCCCAACAACCCCATCTAAACTTGGTGTGTGTGTGCGATATCAAAAGATCAGTTACAAATGAAAACAAAGGAACTTGTTGCTGAACTAGTTTTCCTTGCTGCTGTAATTCGTTTTTATAAAAGGAAAACAAAAGCTGCCATCGACAAAACCATCTTGATTTTTCCTTCATCACAAAGTCCATCATTCTGGTGTGAAATAGAAATGAGTCAGACTACTTCCTCTGCTTTGCTGCATCTAGTATGCTGATGAGAAACAAACTATCATGTGTTCGGAAAAACTTTAAAAAGCACCTTTCAAAGGCAAAATAAATACCAATTTATTTTCAGTGGTCATTTTAGGTGAGGGTGTAGTATTCAAAGGTGTAATATGTAATAATGAAGTAAAAATGACACCCTGTGGTCAAATTTGGGTACTGCAGCCACGACGTTCTGTGAGTGATACGGACGCTCCCCTTTCCGGCCACCAGATGGCCTCCGTGGCTCCAGCCTCGCCTGCCTCCTTCCTCCAGATACCCAACTGTGTGTGATTTCCAATCAGGGCACAGCTGGTAAAAGGATCTCACTTGCACGGAGACGAGGAGAAGGTACAGGGAAGTGTGGACACGGAGGTGTTCTCACGACTCTCTTCTCCTCGCGTTCTCGTATTTTGTTAGCTTCGTTGGAAAACTGGACTTTGGATCGTACTTTTGACTTTGGCTTTGTTGGAGCGTCCCTGCTTATCAGGACTGCTCCCGTTTTTTGTTGAGGATTTTAAGTGGACTATTTCTGTTAGTTTTCCCAGTCCCTTTTGGGCTGGCACTTTCAGTTAGACCCTTTTGTATATCCCTTTTGTTTCTTGTATAGCTATTCTCGTTTTATTGTAAATACCTTTAGTCCCTCTGTGTTTGTAAATAAAATCCTTTGTTTTAGCGACACATTACTCTGTTATTTCAGCCTCACACGTTTTCATTACTCCCTCCACCACCATTACTCCTAGCGAGCTGGGGGACGTAATAGAGCAAGTCACCCCCTACAAGAAACTTACTTCACTCCCACTTCATGTTTGAAAAATGCAACAAATGCTGTTGCTTGGCAGACTGAGAGGGCAGAGCCGCTAACAAATACACACACACACACACACACACACACACACACACACACACACACACACACACACACACACACACACACACACACACACACACACACACACACACACACACACACACACACACACACACACACACACACACACACAGGCTCACAATGGCATTATGACATCATAATATACCAGATGACATCATAGCATACCTCTTAGCCAATAGCGGTGGCAGATTTAAATTCAAATACAGTGCATAATTTTTCCCAGACGACGGCGCAACACTGACAGTTTTAGGCAGATTATTAGAATTTTAACCAAGATGCACTGAAGTACCAAATTATTGACTACACGTGCCTGTAGCATTATAGACACTCCTTTATATAGTTTATCAGCAAAAAAAATGTGATTTGGGGGTGGCTTGCTCTTTAAGCTGTTTAACTTGGACCAAGCATTTTAGGTCACAGATAGGTGTAGCTTAGGGTCTCTGTCTATACACCTTATAAGACAATTTAGGTGATGGCATGTTGTTTTTCTGCTATTGAACTGTTTTCTAATAATGTTGTGTTTAATAAAGCGAAGGAAGGAGAGAAATAACGTTTCCCTAGCAGTTTTTAAATATGTCCCCGATGTACAGGTGCTGGCCAGTAAATTAGAATATCATCAAAAGGTTGAAAATATTTCAGTAATTCCATTCAAAACGTGAAACTTGTACATTATATTCATGCAATGCACACAGACCAATGTATTTCCAATGTTCATTACATTTAAATTTGATATTCATAAGTGACAACTAATGAAAACTCCAAATTTGGTATCTCAAAAAATTAGAATATTCTGAAAAGGCTGAATATAGAAGACACCTGCTGCCACTCTAATCAGCTGATTTACTCAAAACACCTGCAAAGGCCTTTAAAAGGTCCCTCAGTCTTGTTTTGAAGGCACCACAATCATGGGGAAGACTTCTGACTTAACAGCTGTCCAAAAGACAATCATTGACACCTTGCACAAGGAGGGCAAGACACAAAAGGTGATTGCTAAAGAAGCTGGCTGTTCGCAGAGCTCTGTGTCCAAGCACATTAACAGACAGGCGAAGGGACGGAAAAAATGTGGTAGAAAAAAGTGTACAAGCTCTAGGGATAACCGCACCCTGCAGAGAATTGTGACGACAAACCCATTCAAAAATGTGGGGGAGATCCACAAAGAGTGGACTGCAGCTGGAGTCAGCGCTTCAAGAACCACCACGAGGAGACTCATGAAAGACATGGGATTCAGGTGTCGCATTCCGTGTGTCAAGCCACTCTTGAACAAGAAACAGCGCAAGAAGCGTCTCGCCTGGGCCAAGGACAAAAAGGACTGGACTGATGCTGAGTGGTCCAAAGTTATGTTTTCTGATGAAAGCAAGTTCTGCATTTCCTTTGGAAATCAAGGACCCAGAGTCTGGAGGAAGAGCGGAGAAGCACAGAATCCACGTTGCATGAGGTCCAGTGTAAAGTTTCCACCGTCAGTGATGGTGTGGGGTGCCATGTCATCTGCCGGTGTTGGCCCACTCTGTTTCCTGAGGTCCAGGGTCAATGCAGCCGTCTACCAGGAAGTTTTAGAGCACTTCATGCTTCCTGCTGCTGACCAACTTTATGGGGATGCAGACTTCACCTTTCAACAGGACTTGGCACCTGCACACAGTGCCAAAACCACCAGCACCTGGTTCAAGGACCATGGTATCCCTGTCCTTGATTGGCCAGCAAACTCGCCTGACCTTAACCCCATAGAAAATCTATGGGGTATTGTGAAGCGGAGGATGCAATACGCTAGACCCAACAATGCAGAGGAGCTGAAGACGACTATCAGAGCAACCTGGGCTCTCATAACACCTGAGCAGTGCCACAGACTGATCGAGTCCATGCCACGCCACATTACTGCAGTTATTGAGGCAAAAGGAGCCCCGACTAAGTATTGAGTGCTATACATGCACATTCTTTTCATGTTCATTCTTTTCAGTTGGCCAACATTAGAGAAACAAACATTTTTTCATTGGCCTTTAGAATATTCTAATTTTCTGAGATACCAGATTTGATGTTTTCATTGGTTGTCACCTATAAATATCAAAATTAAACGTAATAAACATCGGAAATACATTGGTCTGTGTGCATTGCATGAATATAATGTACAAGTTTCACGTTTTGAATGGAATTACTGAAATATTTTCAACCTTTTGATGATATTCTAATTTACTGGCCAGCACCTGTAATCCGATTAATCGTGTCGAGACCCCATCCGATTCATCGATTATCCAAATAATCGTTTGTTGCAGCCCTACCCTCCAGTACCTGTCTGCTTCCTCTGGAGACCCACATTTATCATTTACAAGTAAACATTTCTGGGTTACTCCCGTTACTGGCTTAGTATCTTTACCAAACTCTGCTGTGTTTTGATGGTCGGCGTCAAATAACAAAAGCTGACGCTGCAACGCCGACTTGGCACAGCGGGTTCACTGATTGTAAACAGCGACTGCGACCCTCTTTGGCCATTTCGAAAGGAGAAAAACTGAAAACACCCAGTTATCTGAAAAGGAACTCCATTTCAATGTAACCTTCCAACATGATTGAGACATTAGACTGTTTTGTTATTTCACTGTAGAACTCTTACTTATTGTACCTTTAAGCTGCTGACTTTCTTAGTTTAGAAACACGGTACAGTTCAGTGCTCAGATGTTTATTTTTTTATTTATGTTTATTTATTTAGCAGACGCTTTTATCCAAAGCGACTTACAATTTATAACCTATTGGGCATGTTGTGATTTGTGAGATGTAAATGTTCTTAAAAAGCTAAAGGTTATGATTAATCAGTGCTTCTAAAACGAATTTTCTAACCATGTAATTAAGTAAACAGCATTCAGATATTTATCTTGAAGAAAGAACCACCCACCCAAAACATCCAAAGAGCTCTGGTGGTTGGAGATGATGACATATGGACCTTCTGTCTGCAGATGTTCCCAACCGCTCACTTCAATTCGAAGACCCAGCAAATATTTGACATGTCGAACCAGGAAACGAATGACCCTGAGGGGGAAAAAGAATAAAAAGTTAATTACAATATGTGCTACATCACACTGCTTTGTGCAGTGGGATGCCAACTGAACCTGCCAGTATCATGTTTGAAAGAGTAACCACCATTTCTTTCTCACTAAGCCAATAAACAGGATTTCATAACAGAAAATAAGATACAGATGGGAACATGTGGCAGCAGTGAGTTATGATTTAGTGCATGGCCCACTTTTCATGTAAACATAACAGACTGTCTGGTAGGTAAACAACTGTCTTTTATTATTATTTTGTGCAACAAAATGTTCCATAAGGCTGGAAACAAAAAAGCTTATGAAAAGGTGCTAAAGGAATTTCTCACATAATCTCACACCAACAGCACCGAGATTCAATTCACAAATACTTTATTAATCCTAGAGGGGAATTAGTTTCAGTACACACAATTCTGAGATCAGACATTCATACATAGACACGACAAGAATTAGTGACTGTGGTCATTCGCAACACGAGTCACGCTACCGTAATAGATCAAGAGGGTTTATATGAGGATAGAGTCAGGGGGAGGGGGAAAAAAGGCACTTCAGAGTTAACCCTTTAAGCGCCAAAGTCGCAGAATTGCGACAAGCAGCAACGTTGGATTTAATGAGCCACAGCAGCAGAAATGAGCCTTCATGCAGTTAATACGTTACACTGCGGGGTGGCAGACACCTGTAACTTCAATCCAAGCAGCATTTGTGGGCTTTTTACTATTCAAACTTTTGGAGGTTTTAGAGCTTGAACCCCGCCCACCAGAGTCGCGGAGGTTGTCAGAGCGAGCGAGTGGTAGAGGAAAAAAGCAATGCCGAGAGGAATGTTCAGTGCTGACAAAGGTGTTTGTCTAGTACTGGCAGATTTGGATTCGGAGGAAGAATATTTCCTTTCCGAGGATGATCTGCGGTCTTCTAGCGAGACGGAAAGCGTGGCTTCAGCGCGCAGCAACAGGGAGGGAGTCTGTCAGCGATGATGCGGTTACTCAAGCAGCCCATCCAGCCCTTACCTTGTCTGATGTTCCGCGTCACCTCCGTGGGGAGGGATGTGGTGGCGGTGATCGGGCCGGTGAAAACTCCGCTGGTGATCGATTCAGCCCCGCGGGTGTAAACCGTGAGAATTGCAGCAGGAGGGGGAGGAACCGCGGGGAAAAAAAATCACTGCTAGCAGGGGTGTAGCCCAACACAGCCTCAGTGACAATAATAATGATGATGGCTGGGTTAGTTTGGGAGAAGAGGAACAGTATTCCAAGTGGATCAGGCATTTTGATGAGCCAGTTGGATACTGTGGAGACAGGGATCTGTCAAATTCAGAACACATTGATTTTCTGTCAGTTTTTTTGGATGAGGAATTCTGGACCCTCATCACAACTGAAACTAACCGATATGCTCACCAGTATTTACCTTGCGAGCACAAAGAGCATTTTTTTAACATAATTTTTAGCGTATAATACTGGCTGCTCAAACTGGGTCAGGTTCTGTTGGAGGTTTCTTCTTGCTTAAGGAAAGTTTTCCTCTCCACTATCGCTACATACTTGCTTTTTTTTGGGGGGGGGAGAGCAGTAGCTCAGGTGGTAGAGCAGATTGCCTCAAGATCGGAGGGTCATGGGCTCGATTCCAGCTCCCGCCAGGGGTATACTGCTGTTGTGTCCTTGGGCAAGATACATCACCCAACTTGCCTGTGTTAGTGGTGGTCAGAGGAGCTGACAGCGCCAAATGGCAGCCTCGTCTCTGTCAGACCTCCCCAGGGCGGCTGTGGCTACAAGTAGCTTACCATCACTAGCAGTGTATGAATGTGAGAGTGTGTGAAAGTGTCTTTGGGGTCTAGAAAAGCGCTATATAAGTTCAATGCATTATTATTATTATCAGTATTGACCCTTTGCACGTGCCGTCACGCCACTCATGGAACTGCTACCTTCACCATGTTAGATGGCAGAAGGACTTTGCATTGGTAACTCCTGGGAAGCTAGTCAAAAAACATTCTAGTTTTTAGCCTTTTATTGATTAGATTTATTTAGTTGATTTCACAGTAAAATGGTAATAGTTTGCTGTGCAATAACAGATAAGGGTGTAAACTCAACTTGTCTTCTTTTGAATAACTTTGATGGAGACCAACAATGGAGATGAGCCGTAACGGTAACGGATAGCAGTCTTGAGTCAGATTTGCAGCGATTAATTTGCATTAAGATTAGCATTCATATTTCTGGAAGAAAACGGGCTGACTGTGATGGACCTGAAATGATGAATGTGATGCGTTTGTATTTCTTATTTAGTACTGATCATCCTAAATTTCACCATGAAGGAGGTGCATTGTTGTCCACTGTAATGAAATGTGAGATACTTATTTATTATAATATTATTGTATCAATGTAGGATTACTGGTGTGATAATGAGGTTATTTATTTAGTGTGATGAGCATCGCCATTATGAGATATCTTCTCTTGTCCTGGCGTGACCTGGTGACCCCGCCAACGACAAAAACAGGTAGGGACCTGAACATTTATAGCTTTAGTTATTTTTTTTAAATCAGCTTCAGTGTACAGTGAAATGCTGTTTATCACACATCACATAAATCCAGTGGGGTATATTCTGGAAAAGTTGGCAACTTGTTTATGTCGGTGAACAGCAGCAGGAAGAACGTAAGCTAACATTCATAAGCTAGCAAACACTTGTAAACACTGCTCTCTATGAGCCAACCTAGGTGTGCTAAATCTTTCCACAAGTGAACTGGGCTTGGTCTAGTAAAAACAGAACTAAACTGGCAAAAATAAATAAATAAATAAACTCAGCAGCCCCTTTTCTGTTCAATTCTTCCGTAATTCACTGTTCGCCCACCTAAGTGTGCTACTTCTTCTGATAGCTTAACTGAGCTTGAACTAGTTGAAGCTATGCTAAGCATCACAAATAACAGCAACAACAAAAACATAATCTCAGGTGGACCCTTTCCCTTAGTTCAATACTCTTTCACTCACCGTTTACTATGCTTTTGCTGTCCTTTATGGTGGACCTAGGTGATTTGGTCTGGTAGGTGTAAAGAGTCAACGTGGATTGCTGTAAAGTCTCTGACACAACAAGTCAGTGACTCAGTGTTATCTGCTGGGTTTCCTTACATAGAAAACTTTTAATTGGCATAATGAACTAAAGTTAGGGCTGGGCGATATGGCCTAAAATCAAAATATATTGAGGATTTCACCTCGATAACAATAAATGGATGACGACTACAGGTATGCACAGAAACTAAGGTTGTCCATTAGATGGGGCTAGTACGTTGAGTCGCATTTTTACATGACTCAAGCTGGTACAGCTTCTTAAAGGGACATGAATGTTGCCAACCCACACATCTTTTTATTTTTCTATTGACAAGAAATTTTGATAATACATTTTTGATGTATTGCCCAGCCCTAACTGAAGTTAAAGACAGGTAAAGTTGTAATATTTACTTTGTAAAGTGCTTTGAGATAACTCTTGTTGTGATTTGGCCCTAAATAAATTGACTTGAATTGCTTTGCAGCTTTATATTTATCCAAGACAATCAAAAGGAACCTTATTGTAAAGTGTACAAGTGACATTCAATAATGTTTAATAGCCCTAATAAATCGTTTCATGTTTTACTCGTTACAAAAATATTCCTTTTGATAGTTGTGGATATCTAATACAGTAGTAAAGTAGTATATTGTATGAGAAAACATTATTTACAAATGATTATATGCTTTCTTGTAAGAAGGCAGTTTTATCTTTTCTAGGGCTGGGTGGTACGGCCTAAAATCCATTGAGTTCACCTCGATAACAACAAATGGACAATTACTACATGTATGCACAATAATAAAAGTTGTCCACAAGATGGGGATGTCATGTGCATAACTGTTGTCACATGACTTGAGGTGGTACAGCTTCTTAAAGCGACATGACCAACCTACACACATCTTTTCTTTTTTCTTTTTTACTACAGAATACATTGACATGGGAAAAATGATATTGGTTAGTCAGAAACTTTGATAATACATTTTTTGATTTATTGCCCAGCCCTAATCTCTTCTCATCCTAATGTATAAAAATCCCTTAATGATGAGTGTTGACAGATTAAAGCAGATCTCTAAACAAGCCTCATTGTAAAATGGTACAGTTTTATCTGGTTTTTTGGCTTTATAATCATAAGAAATGTTCTTGACCATTTTCTGCATCACTTGTTTGTTGAAACCCCACTGGCTCCACACATGAACTTGTGGAATTTGTTTACAGGCTAAAACTTGGACTGTAAGAGCAGTACTTTCATCACCCTCCGTGAGTGTAACCTGATCCCACCTGGATGCCTGCACCCATACAGGCAAAACCGCAGCTCTTCATTGATCTTTTCCTTTTACTCCTGGACCACTGGGCAGAGCAGAAGTCCTTTGCGTGCCCTCTCTCTCTTCAACACACATGGACACACACGAACACGGACAGTCAGCTGGTTCTCATCAACTTTTATTCCACTAAAAGGGCCAACAACAAACTCAGCAAACAGCACGAGCCAAACAGAGTTATCTCCAGCTAGATAAACCATTGACGGAGTAAAAACTAATTTGGTTAGCCTCCAGCTGCACACAGGGATTGCTAGGTGGCTCATCAAAGCAGAGACCATTGTAGAAATCCATTCTACAGATCCATTCTAAACTTAAAATTTGTAGAAACTTGACCGGAAACAAAACTGTTTCTTAACTACAACTCCTCCCAGCCAAACATCAGTTTCTCTAAGGACCATAGCAACTCGACACACATCTAACTAGGTAAATATAGAAACAAAGCCCAGCCAAACATGGATGTTTCCCTCTAATCGATCCGTTACTGCTGTGATCATGTTTCATTGGTGGTTGTGTAGGGTTTTGCCATAGACTGAATGTAAGAGATAATGTTGCTACAGGATGGCCTTGAGAAAAGGAGCCAGTGAACAAGTGTCTTAAAGTGTAACATTACCGACTGTTGCAGAGCTAGTTTGACAGAGTTGGGCGTGAA